AGGTAAAAATTGAAGTTTGACTTGTTTGCCAATCAGACACTGTTCACAAGAACCAATGTCACCAAAATTTTGATTTCCAAAAACTCATTTATTTTATAATGCCTTTAAACTCTTTTAACCAATGTGTCCAAGTCTTTCATGCCACGATTTTGCAAAAAAGAAATTTTCAATCAAGGCAGCAGTAGTAAAACCGAGTAAGGGTTTTGCCTTTAAAAAATATAGACTGTGTCTCTTAGGGGTACTAATGATCAGGTCATTACCCCTAAGAATTTTTATGTGTCTTTGACCCAATTTTATGTCGAACTCCATGTCATCTAACATTCCTAGAGACACCAGATTCCTTTCTAATTCAGGTACATATCTAGTTCCTTTTAGAATTCGAATATTACCATTCTCAAGTAATAACTTCACAGTTCCTATTCCACTAACTTTACATGTCATGTTATTACCCATTATTACTTGCCCACCAGTTGTTTTTTCAAAATCAAGAAAAAAATTCTTATTAGGGCACATATGGAAGGAACAACCTGAATCAAGGATACATTCATCATTCAACTTTTTCTCAACATTGACCAGAATAATACCATCCTCAGTTCCCTCTCTATTATAAACTAAGGCAGCATTCCCATCATCATATTTCTTATCTTTCAGCTCATTTTTCTTTTTGTAACAGTCTTTAACAAAATGTCCAAGTTTTCCACAATGAAAACATTTCTTCCCCTTTGCTTTATTTTTGGATTTATTCTTATCACCCCATCTGGTTTTATTTTCATTAAAACTCTAGAAGTGATAGCTAGGTTTACTATGACCCTTCCCTCTTATCGTAAGAGTGTCTCCATTATCTTTTGCTTCAGATTTTATTTCTAATGCTTGAATCCTCAGAACATTTATAATAATATCAATGGTCAGGTCTTCCCTTCCATATTCTAAAGCAATCTTGATGTCTCTATATCTGTCACTAATGGAGTTCAACAAGACCATAGTCAGCTGATCTTTTGAGAGTGTCTCATCACAATTGGCAAGGTCTTGGATCAATTTTGTAAACCTATTTAGATTGTCATCCTAGTCAACAGAGGGATCCATTTTAAAAGAAAAAAGTTGTTTTAGCAAATAACATTTGTTGGGAATGGTTTTGGTCACATACTGACTTGTGAGTTTGGTCCAAAGTTCAGAAACAGTTTTGGTTTCACCAATGGTTCACATTGTCAGATAAGTACAAGAAAATAGTACTCCAAGCAGTTTCGTTAAGTTCAGTTTTCTTAGCAGTAGTCATTTCATGTGGCCAAGATCCATCTAAAGCCCTAACACACTTCATTTGCATCAAAATAGCTTTCATCTTTTGACTCCACATATTAAAATCAATTTTCCCATCAAATTGTGCAACTTCAAACTTAGCAGAAGCCATATCAATTACACGCAAGGTGAACAGGTATGAGTCAAAATATAAAGCAATACTAGAAAAACCAAGTAATAGTCAATCAGGTTTACAAATGTAGCATTCAGTTCACAAAATTTCACAGATTTTGTCAAATAATGTTCAAGAAAACCAAAGGCAAATAAGGGACACAAAAACAGAGATCGCACAAGCTAAGTTTCAGTGATTTCTCCTACAAGATTCTCCTAATACACACTCGTACTGGATTTATCTCAAATTCTCAAGACCTCGCAGGAGTCTTTGGACAAAGATTAGTATCCAAGGGGTATTGTGTATGGTAAATCAAGGGAAATATCAAGGAGTATTGAAAAAGTAAAATTTTCAGAAATTAGAGAGATCTCACCCAGCGAGTATTTTTCAACTCAGTGTCCTTCAATACTGTTTAATTGCAGTTCCAAAAATTTTAGATCTGCAACAGATCATATAGCTTTCTTCGAAGATTCAAGTATCTTGCTCTCAGTCCAAACTCTGATACCACTGAAAGGCCAAGACCCACAAGTATCAGAGTCAAGATACAAGAAACTTAAAATGATAGAAAACTAAAACTGCAGAAAAGTAAATGAAAACAAGAGATTTTCGGCCTAAGTCCCAGAGGTTCGATATAAACCTACTCCCCTATTGAGCATTCACAAAAGGATAACGCTCAATTGCACTATACTAACTTCAAATTGGCAACGAATGTTACAAGGAGTTCAATCATCACAAAGTATACTTATTAGATACTTATCTCTTCAAGGATTCAATAGATCTTTGTTGAATCACACAAGAATCACCAGATCAGAACTATCGTAAACCACAGCAAACAGAATCCAACTTCTAGCAGATTTCCACACATGGAAATCAAGTATTCTAAGGCTAACACTCGAAAATAACGAAAGTGCACAACGGATTTTACAATGAACAAATCAGACTAAAACCCTAAGTCATAGAACTCTCTCGAACCCTAATCCTAATCGTGAAGAATGAAAAAGTGTGAGATGAACAGGTCGATTCCAAGTATTTATATCTCAGTCCAAATTTTATCCAACGGCCATTAGTGAAGACAAATGACAGCAGATCTAAAACCCAGTTCAATAAGTAAAACCGTGTTTCTCATAACACGACTTTAAGCTGAAATATAAGGTAGCACTCAAGCCAGAGTTTGAATCTCCAACATCCTGAATATTAGGAAGCAAAAGGTGATGCTCATACACTTCTTGTTTTGCTTTATAGAGTGATGTGTGTTGAAAATATAGAGCCATTTCATCTGGCTCATGAGTATGGAGACTAGAGATGCCATGTGTTCTGCTCAGCTGAAGCCCATAGGTGTTTCTTATCACTAAAAACTTGAATTATTAGTTCATTTTTTGAACTTAGCCATTGGCATAAAAGAACTACAGCATGCAAGATATAGATTGGCTAGCATTCTGGTTCCTCAAAGTCACTGGTTTGCATGAGTGATAATTCAGTCAGCTTAGGCTCATTAAGAATATGTAGGGAGTTTTTGATGGGTTATCCTCTGACTGGAGATACAGCATGTGTTCTCCAGTCACAGGATAACCTTTATGTGATTATTTTCAATCTTCAGATTGGGAGATCATATCTTTCTCAAAAAAAATGTATTTATCTCAAACTAAAAAATGAAATTTGGTTACTAAGAGAAATTCATAGGACCAATCAGCTTATTGAATTTTTTTTTTGGATGAAGGATATTGCAAGTGGGGAATCAATACTTTTTGCTCCAAGATTACCCGATGAACATGCAGTTTGGTTGGGAGAGATTAAACCATTGTCCTACTTCAAAGTGATTATATTGTCATAAGTTAAAAGATTTAATGTGCAACAAATACACAATGTGTATAAGAATTGATTTTACAGCCTTGTTTTGCAGGAAAGATACATGGTTAGCGCAGTCCACTATACTGATGAGATTACTAAAGTTCTGCATCAACAATAATACCAAGGATCTGGAAAGCCCATGCTTTATCTCCTGCATGGGTTCAACACTGATATTAACAATTACTCCAAGCCGGTAGACTTTGAGGTTCTCACATCTCCCTTTCTCCACTGCTACAAAATTTTCTCACTGCAGTATGAATGTTAACAGTACTGCCGTGGATCTGGTAATACCAAATTTTAGCTTCTGAGGACTTTGTTAACAGCTGTATAACTTAGAAACCAGGTACACAGATTTTGTTTGGCAAAAACTCTAGAAATCAACATATTCGATACATAATGTACCATTGTATACATATGTATGTGTGGGAAAACACTTATATGTGCGTGTTTGCTTGTACAAGCAAATAAATTATTTTTGTTGGCTGAAATCTAAATCTATGGCCCTCTATGGTTTGTCAGGGAGCAGTATTAGGCCCTCTAAATTATTTATATGCATTAACTTTCTTTTGTGGACATATGATCCAAGTTGTGTAATAAATATATACTTGTAGCTCTTAAGAATTACAACATAGGCAGATGACATACATGGTATACACTACGAGGATAAACAGTAGCTTATAGCAGATGAAATTTTATCACTGTACTTCATTTTAATATTTCTAGACCCAATCATTTATTTTTTTCTAGATGAAATTACTGAGATGACAGGGAGCATGATACATTTACATTGAAAATGTAATAAATGGGGGTTATAACCATTTCACTGGTGGATGGAGAAGGCAGTACTTGCTGTATTATGTGTAATAATGTGTATAGTGGTCTTGCCTTCGGGTTTCTTGAAATCTCATATTTCTTTTTCCCTAAGTCATATCATTTATCTCCTATATAGTTAGGTCCTTTGATTGCTTGCAGCTATTTTATCGATTTTGATTCAAGGATGATGCTATTTAACTGGAGATCATTGATTTTTATGCTTCTCCATCTGCACTGAAGAATGTACAAGCTTTGAATAAGTAGTTACCAATTATTAAATTATTAGTCTGCCATGCTGGTTAATTCAGAAAAGAAAATTTCCGTTGTGACGAACTATGGGGCTTGCACAACTTTCTCGATCCTTCAGTACACGGATTGGTACATTTGTTGAACAATTTTATACAAGTTCAACCACCTCTCTGTTTTTTTTGGCGTTTCAATTTTTAGAAATGCAGTAATTAACAAGTTATAACTACTATTCTCAACTTGAGATTAACTAATTTTAAAACAAAAATGTATAATGTAAATTTCATCTGACAAACATGTACTACAAAAATGAAAATCCCCAATACTCATCTCTCAGTGGCCGACGGTTGGGCACAAAGAAAGTTGCCTGTATCATTGTGTCCGCAAATAGTGCACAGAAGTCGCAGCAGAATGTATAAAGCCATTGTTTCTGCCTCAAGGTCTTCATTGTTCCTTTACTTCCAACTCTTCGTCAGAGGATGGATTCTCAACATCACTCCCACTGTTCCCTCTATCTTTGCGTGGAAATGTATAGCTCTCAGAATTTTCAGCCAGGCTATACTTGAGGAACTTCACTCTCTTTCTCTTTTCAGATTTTTTAGCTCGCCGTTTTGTTCCTCCATGTTCTGCAGATTGCATTGAATGTGCAGCAGCCATGAACGCAGCACTCATGGATTCACCCGTCTTGTCATCTTCCTCATTTCCATTGTTTTCTCCCTTGTTGTCTATGAAAAAAAGATCAGTATCCAATGTCTTCCCCTCTCCTTTATTTGCAAGCTTCTCCAAGTCTTCTTTCAAATTATCAGATATTAATTTGGCACGAGATTTTGACATATCATCATCAAATATCCTTATCCCTCTATTCTCTATATTTAGCATCCATCCTGAGTAGTTTCAAAGGTTATTTTAGTAACATATATCAGTCAAACACAATTAGTAAATGTTACCAAAACTACTTACTTAAAAATGCTTTTGGTGATGATCCATTCGGGCCAGTGTTAGTAACTTCACTACCAGTTTCATTTTTGATCCATTTAAGAAGTTCAGAGGGTAGACTAGAACTAGCAAATGCATTTGAATAGGAGGTGGCTTTGTTATGGTCTGAACATTCCCTGAAATAAAACATATAACTTAAACACCCTTCAATATAAGTTTTGATGGAAAATGTTTAAACGACATTAACTCATCGTTCATGCCTACCTGAAATACTCTATGGCTTCATGGGTAACCATCAATTTTCCCAAGATGATATTTTTTGTATGCTTTGCTGATAGTCGTGCCAAACTCACAGAAGCAAGGAAAGAATATTCTACTAAAATCAGAGCATCATAAAGAATTTTCCTTAAGAGAACCTCATTTGCAGAATTCTGCAGAGAAAGTTATAAAAATGGTCAATGGTCAATAAGTTAAAATTTTTAATTCCATGACAAGTAAGAGAAACCAATGATCAATGATAAGATTTTCTACCAAAATTATCAGCATATGAGTCAAGAATTTTATTCAACAAAATAACTTAAGCATTAAAAAAATGTTAACCATCCTATTACCATTGATCCAAAAATGATTACAAGAACAAAAGATACATTGCAAAGTTGTTGACTAACCATTAAGGAGGTTACAGGTAACATTGGCTCCAGTAACATCCTGACAAGGGTCACTACAAACACAATTGGTGGAGAATGAGCCAATTATAAAAGTCATTCATATAATCTAAGAAATAAAAAAGTTTGTTTTATCACACAAATATAACTCAATTCAAGTTTACTCTCAATACGATTTATCCAAATTTCAAAAGAAAGTAAGGGCAAGAACTGACCATAGAAATAAGAGCTTCTAAACGAAGTGATAGAACCAACAACCCAAGTCCTGATTTCATTCTGCAGCTCATTTTCGATTCCCTCCCCTCGCATTTTCAAACACAACTTCAGCAAAAAGGCCTCAGCAATCACAAAACCTGCTAGCTCACTCGTTTCACACCCTTCAATGCTAACCTTCTCAAGGATCTCATTGCTCAAAAGTGGGAAAAACATTCTAAGAGATTCTAAAACGTTCCCATTTTCGGCTATATTGTGTCCAATCCAAACACTAACTAAATTCCCCAATGGAATCACACCATTCAAATCATCACAACTACCATCCAACCCCTCACAACAAACATTTATATACCCGAGAATTGAATCAACTAAACCCTTAATTTCTTTATTGACTTTTCTCTCCTTCTTGGACCCTAACTCAAAACCCTTTAAACCAACAATGAAACTATGCAAAGGGTATATAAGGGGAGATATCAAAGCAATGCACTTTATAGAATTACAAGAAGCAGAGCAAGAAATTATGAGCTGAAACAAGTCTTTAATGGAGGATAATTGATCCAAAGGTTCATTTTTTGCTGAATTGGCGTTGCGAAAACTCAAAGCTGAATAAACCCAGATGGTTTCTAGAGGCGGGTCTGTTTTAGATTGAAGCAAATCGTAAAAGCTTGAAATCAAATATGGAAAATTGGGGTTTCCAACGGAGTTCAAGAGGGCTTGCAAAGATTGATTGAGAGCAATTTCGTAGTTTTTCCCAATTAAATGGGTGAAATTGCGGGGTTTGGGTGAAACGAGTAAGGTTGAAGCCATCGGTACTGGAGAGTGGAGATTGAAATTTTAGTTTCTAAAACCCAAACTTAATGGGTGTAAAAGAGAGAAATTAGGGTTTTAGAAGGTGCACGGAGATATTGTGCATCGGCGGTCTACTGTTGTACTATGGTGTGCCCATTTACGGATAATCCCATTAAATTAAAATTTATTTTATTTATCAATCACACATTTTTATTATACGTAAATTTAAAAAAATTCATTTTTTTTTAACCACGTTTTCCAAAAAAATATTATTTTTCTCATTATAATAGATCCCAAACGGGGCCTTACCATTTTATATCTGATTATGATTTACGTATGTTTCTTTCGTTTCCCTCAAAAGGTATTCTAATTTACTTTTGTCCTCGGGACTCTAGATCCAGGTCTTGCATTGTGTTTGATTGCAAGAATAGAATTTAAGTGGAAAGAAAATGAATTATAGGGAATTAAATTGTCTAGAATTCATTTTATTGAGAATTGTCAATTAACTGTGTTTGATTGGTATAATTTTTCAATTGAAAAATATTGAAATTTTGGATTTTTTGGTATTTGTTTGATTTTATTTTTCATTGAAATTGTTCATTAAAGAGATATAATTTGTTTGAATTGCAAAAAAAAAAAAAAAA